GTAGGGAAATGTTCTCATGCCAAACGGGCTGGAAATATAAGCATTTATGTGGCAGACTGTGAAGTTGGGAAACTGATCAGGTTGGTTCTTGCCTAAACATGTTGTCCAGATTCATAATCTTGCAATATAAGGATCTGTCTGGCAAGAGAACATTACCCCTATAAGTGTGTGTGCGTTTCTGGAAACATGAGTTTGGCAAGAGAACATTACCCTATGTGTGGGTGTGCCTATATATAAGTTCATCTAATCATTTGGGTAAGTTTTCTTCGGGTAGGTTACTCGATTAGTTTAGGATTGGTGTTGGTGAGATGAAATTGTAGTAATTGGAGCCATTTCCTCACTCCATAAGTGCTATGTTCATTGATGTGCTTTTCTCTGTATGTATGCACAATCCTATTAGGTTAGCAGTATTTTCTATTTGTTGATCATATTATGCTCGTCCTGGTTTTTCCATCACTTGACATCGGTTGTTTGTTTGCCTTTTCAGAGAACTGCATCCTCCGGAAGTTTCGGTTCAGCGGGTAGCTATTCCATGCCTGCTCTTGAACCGGAACAAGCCCCTGGAATCTTCCAGGATGAATCGATTTCTTTAACGGGATCATCTCTTTTTGGAAGTACTGATAGCTTGGATCTTTTCAAGGCCCCGGTTAAACCAAAAATATCTTCTGCAGCTCTGTCCATTGATTTGTTTCACTTACCAGCACCATCTTCATCTCTATCCATAGATTTGTTTCAGCCGCCTGTATCATGTTCAGATTCATCTGTGAATGTAGGCGAACGTCCTAAACTTTTCTCACCTACGTCCTTGGAGTTATTTGCTGATTTTCCTCAGCAGCAGTCCACAGCAAACTTGGCTAAACAAGTACCCAATTCTTTCCATGAAAGTGAAGGATGGGCAACATTTGATACACCTCAGCCATCGGCTTCTGTTCCAGGCACTGAAAATATTACCCCAGAAAATATAGCTTCCAATGGTGGAGGTTCTATTGGAAAGTTTGATCTATTCTCCCCATCAAATACAAGCATGCAATGGCCATCATTTCAATATTCTAGCATTCATGGACCTTCAGATATTTTGCACAATGTCACAGCTCCCAATACCACAAGCACTCAGGTAAGCCTCATTATGATCAGAACTGCTCCCTCATCAGATTCTTATATGGGTTTCAGAAAAATGGTTTTTAGTGCGTGGTTGGTTTCATGTTTTTTTTTTTTTTTTTTTTTGGTGGATCATGATGGTACTATGTGTGCTTAACACACCCTTGGGGGCTTTTTATGCTTTACTCTATTGAATTTAAGCTCTAGTGAAATGGTGGCATGCAGTAAATATGAAGGAATGTAATCAGGTTGATTTGTGTTATTTTGAGTAGTCATGGAGTGCTTTTGAAGATTCTATTGTACACCTTCCATTGGAGGACACTAAGAAGGGTAGCGAACCAGGAGCAACAGATAAGCTTTTGTCAGCTGGTGACCGCTATTTGGGATTCAGAATTTCTGAGGTTGCTGCATCAACCTTATGTTCTCTCTAACTGTTTATGTTCTTCCTCTCATTGGGTGGGCTTTGTTTTGCAGGACTCTAGTGAAGATGGGATTCAGAGAGCTGTCTCCCAAGGTGAACCCCATGATCCTGGTCTGCCTTCACATGTTGTCTTGGGGCAATCATATACTCCACAAGGGCTTCCTCAAATGGTTTTTACCCTTCAGATATCTCCTGTGATTTGTCTAGTGGAATCTTCTTAGTAGTATTCTAATCTCTTTTGTTCCCTCCACCAAGTCACAGGGAGAAATTAAGTCAGATGCCACTGACCACAAATCTAATAACCCATTTGATCTTCCTTATGATACAGATCTGGATCCGAATAATGTGGTATGTTTTTGTTTGTTATTGCATCAGTAATATGGCGTAGGTTTTTTTGTTAAGTTGTGCTTGCATGAGAATTTTAAATGTGAAATGTGATTAGGGGCAAGGGTGGGGTGATGGTATTGTTTATCTGCCATACCTGTCAACTGTCAAGGATAACCACAGCATGATGCTTAGTTGAGTTCTGATATAATTGCATTGGATCACAGTTAGTAATGCTGGTGCTATCTTGATTAGAAAAGCTGCTCATACCTTTGCCTCTAAGATCCAGTCTCTGAAACTAAGATCCAATCTATTGCTTATAAATGTTTAGAGGAGGCACTTGTTAATTTTTTGGTTGTCTCACTAATGTGTTTTTAATCACATGGGGCAAGTCATTATGCATGTGATGCGATTGATAGACTGTAATATGATGGTTTTAGTCAATGTCTACCATCATTCTAAAACTGTAATTTATTTCATTTAAATTAATGAAGGATTTGGAACGGAGTTTCCAACGTATACAATTCTTGGATTTCTGGGTTCTAATTTTGTCTTGCGTTCTCTATCTCAGTTTTTGGACATGAGTTCCTTACAAGCTTCTCTCCCAAATGCCCAGTTGCAATCCCCTTTCCTTGGTGGTGTATCTCAGGCATGGTTACCCCAAAATACAGTGTCTGGGATGTCGTATCCAGCTGCAGCAGAAGGTAAGGTTTTCAGTGCGAGTGAAGCTACATTCTCTTCTTTTTCTCTTTGTTCGTGAACTACACATATTGCAGAACCATTAAAACATATGTGGTCATAACGATCTTATCCTTTTCATTCATTGCTATTTTGATTTGATGTAGGTGGATTGACATACATGCCAGGGCAAGCACATAGCTCTCAGATTCCGTAAGTCCATTTTCTACTCGGTATTCTGGATTGTGATCTTTTCTCATTATGGCTGTTATAGTATTATATCATTTTTCCATTGAATATGTTATCTGTATCTTGGCTTTTGGAAGAGTTGGCCAAGTGCAAATAGCAGTTTAATAAAATAATCCAATCAGCGAGATGATGGGTAACGAGTGAGCTGATAAGGGTATTTATAGTTTCGCTGGATTGTTTTTACCTTTTAGAAGATGAAGAACGAAGAATTAAGCATTGGGAAGAAAATTAGTCTGTACAGATGGAACCAAGATACATAAACTTGAAAAGATGGGATTAGATGTATTAGTTTATTTTATCGCATTATTTAAAATAATGAAATTATCTTGCAATTACTTCATCTCCATAAGTTTCAGTTTCAGTTCCAATTTTTCTTTTTCATTTGATGTTTGTGTGGTCTGAAGGAATGCACAGACGAAATCCACAACTGAAAGCTTTAAGGAAACATGTTGTAGTGGGGTTTCTGATTTTTAATTAGAACATCATGTTTCGATACTTATATTGGTGATGAACACAACAATCTCTCAATTCTTCGATACTTAAACCATGAGAGTTTGGTGGCAGAGAACGTTGGTTCCATTGGGAAGTGTTAAGACAGTTCTGTAAGCTAAATTACTCTCATATATGCTTTCATTTTGCCATGCGATCATCAAAATAGCAGAATGTAATATTCACTGTGTAATCTGACGTGAGTATATTGGTGGTACCAGGCAAGTTGAATGTCTAGAACTACATTGTGAAGATGCTTGATAGAGTTTAGCAAGTCAACTTGCCTGGTGTTAGGGAAGCCATTTGATGCTTTTATGTCGTGTATATGTTTGTGTTTGTACCCTCTTTTGAATTGATTTGAAGTTGCTTTTTTTTGGCAGGAATGTCCCGACACAGGGACCTGTCGCGTCCATTGGAGGAAATCCTTTTGCATAGGATTGTAGAGGCCAGAATAAACATCATTTTCAGTTGGTTGTAGAACTTTGTCGTTCACATTTTACATGTCTTTTTAATCAATAAATAGGATGGACGTTTCTTGTGGTATCATTTGTGGAAAGACGGTATCAACAGGGACCTGTCTGCATCCACTCATTCAAATTTCAGTATTTGGTTTGGAAAGACGATAATCCAAAAACTGGTAGGTCCCTTGTTTGGACGTTAATAGTGAATGATTGTTCCCTTTTCCTCGTTTAATTTACCATTTTCAAGCGAGCACTTAGTTATTAGATGTGGGGTTCTTTTGTTTTGTTTTTGGTTTTTTTTAATCTAATGGCAGAATATACATGGTAGATTAAAAGAAAAATTAGGTATTAGACATAACAATCCTTGCTAATTATATATATATATATATATATATTTTTTTTTTGGGTCAAACGGTGGTAGAAATTTATTAAAGCCGAATTGTAATGTTTACGTCAGCAGCAAGAGTGTCAAACAACCACTTAGGCCAAAGTTGATCCCATTTAAACCTCTCACCCACATGTAGGGCTCGTCAATGGGCTGTGCCGGAAGCTCGGCCCAAATTTAATGGGCTTAGATTGGGGAGGGTTGGGTTTTAAAAAGAGGAAAGGAAATACCGAATCGGGCTGGCTTGGATTTTTTTGGAAAATTCAAAGCCCAAGCCCGACCCATGGGCTGAGCTTGGGAAAGCCCATCGGGCCGGGGCTAAACAGGCCTACTTCATTAAAAAAAAAATTGTAAACTTAATCATAAGGACATTTTAGTCCAAATTTGATATTAAACTCAATTCCAATATTTTCACATCAAATCAAATTCTTAAAACACCCAATAAAGTCACACAACTTAATAAGAATTTCCACAAAAATAATAAAACCAAGTATTATTTTTGAGGTTATTACATAATTAGAACATAATATGTTTTAAAATAATAAGTATCAAAAAAATATTTTTTTTAAAGGATGGTAGGAATAAGTATGCAAATATTTGATGATGTGTTCAAGAAAAACATGATTATATTTGGTTGTACGATTTTGTTTCGTGATATGATTATATTTGGTGATGTGATATGTTGTTCATCTTATATATATATATATATATATAATTGTTGAATTAATTACACAAATTATGTGCTAATCATTCAATTATAAACTAGGAATGAGTAAAGAAAAGTAAATGAAATGAAACAAATTATATGTGATTTAAGTGATATAATCATAAACCTAAACTCTTATTTAAACATAATTATATATGTATGCAGGCCTAACGGGCCGGGCTTTTGTAGAGGGGCTGGGTCGGGCTTTCTTGGGCTTAATCAGGCTGGGCCTATGGGCCGGGCTGGCTTTCAGACACCCAAGCCCAAGCCTAGCCCAGCCTAAGGTGGGCTGGACCATCTCAAAGCCCATAACGGGCCAGCTCGGACTTTTTTTCAATGGGCCAGGCGGGCCCCCATCGGCCCATGAGCCCGACCCGGCCCATTATGGGCTACCCACATGAGATACATGCGCTGCTATCAGATAAGCAGTTGCATTGCACCTATGATTCACAAAAACAAAAGATATCACATGAGAAGCCATTAACTTAATATCATGAATAATGCTGTCAATAGTAGTATCTGTCTTCATGTTTCCATGTATCATCGCAACAAGCTGTTTACAATCTGTCTCCATCATCATCCTGATAACTCGCACCTCCAAACCCGTTGTCATTGCCTCCGAACTGCTTCTGCTTCCACAGCCAGAGTTGACTGGCACGAAAAACCCCCTACACCCCATGCCATTTCCACATCCATCCATTACTATCTCGAGCCACCCATCCAGCTCCACCTTTTATGTGCGCTTGCGTCCAAGCACCATCGCAATTAAATTTCATCCAGCTCTCAGCCGGTTTTTGCCAAATTTGGAAGTCACTGCGGTCCCACTCTGGAGGTTTCAATTGATCATGTATAAGCGGTATGCTTGCCTGTCTTGCCGCCACAAACTCCACAATTTGCTTTTGACATGTGAGAGCAATATCCTGTGGGTGCATATGATGCCCCTATTAAATGGAAGCATTTTGATTCTTCCATAACCTCCATAACCCAAACGCCAACCATTGCAAAATATCCCGATCATTGTCCTCCTTTTTGTATTTTTGAAGGAGCTGCCAACATGATAGAAAATCCCCTCCTTCGAGCAACCTCATATCTAACTGCAAAGGGCTAATGAACAAGAATACCCTTGTAAACTCACAGTGAAAAAAAAAAAAAGGGAAATAGCTGAAAATGCCACCCATTTTATAATTTTTTTTTTCTGAAAATACCACCCCTCCCCTAAAATTTTAAAACTACCACCTATAAATACATCTTTATTGTCGACTGATTGCACCCATATCACATTTTCAGAAATTTGGTTCTCTCTCAGCTCGCTCAGCCCCCTTTTCTCTCTGTCTCTCTCTTTGCTCTCTCTCTCTCTCTCTCTCTCTCTCTCTCTCTCTCTCTCTCTCTCTCACGCAGCTCTGTCTCGTTCTCTGTTCTGAATCACGAACCCCTCCCTTGACCCCATATTTTAGGTATGTCTTCTGAATAGCTGCTTGCAACCTTAAAGCTCTACTGGATCGCTGACCTCGAATAGGTAGTGTTGATGGTTATTTTCTTAATATCTTTTGGATTCTGTGAAATTAGTTTTATTTTGATTGCTTGGGTTTCTGTTAAATTGGTTTTGGTTGTAATTGCTTTGGGTTAGGTTTTTTGAATCTTCGTGCTCATCCATCTGGGTTTTTACCAATTGCATTTAGATTGATCTGGATATGTGAATCTTGAAACTTTGGACTTTCCATTTGATGTAGTGGATTTGTATAGTGTGATTGTGATGAATCCTTGTTCACTGTTGTGTTAGTGTTGTATTGCTGTTGTGTTCCTGTTATTTTGCTGTGGTATTGCTGTTATATTGCCGTTATATTGCTAGTTTGATGTTATATTGCTATTATATTGCCATTGTATTGCCTGGTTATTTTGGTTTGCTATAATGGAAAATAGGTAACCTCAAAGAAGATGTGCAAATACAAAGGGGGTGACTTAAAAGCCTTAATAGTTCCACGGACCATCACATTTGTTGAACTGTTGGATTGTGTGCATCAGATTGGTAACACAAACAGCAGGGAAGCAAGGTTTGCTTAAAGTTCTCAGTTTTGGTGACCTCGAATGAGTGGAAGCACATAAAGATTGAGGACGATGATGATGTCAAATTTTTTATGAAGTAAAATTGTGAGATAACACCTTCAAAACTAGCTCCCTACTCGAGAGTATAGAAGATAAATGGACTGACAAATGATGTAGTTGATAGTATGCATATCATGACAGATAGTAGTCAGATGGGTTGTTCTTCAGCTGCCATTGTTGGAAGCAATGAAGTAACTCGGAATAATACAAATGTTGCTGATGTGGGAGGTGATGTTGGGACAGATTTTATAGACATGATTGATTTTAGCGAGGTGGAGGAGATGCATGGTGGTGATAATGGTACTGAAAGAAATGAAGTGTTAGTGTACTTTGGCCCTCCTATTTTGGGCCCCTTGAACACATCTGCCCAATTGCCAATAATACCTTTAGGAGGAGAATCTGAACGCACTCGTGAACATTATTTGAGTCAAATGGGTGAACAGAACCAGTACAATGTGGCCAGTGTAAATGATGGAGAAGCATATTTAGACATAGGGTATTCACGAAGTGATTAGAATTCAAAAATTACAGTTGGGCAATTTTTCTCTAGTAACGGAGCATTGTTGATCGAGTTATGGTTGACGGCATTGAGAGGCCACTTTGAATTTAAGGTGCAATTTTCTTGCACTAAGAGGTTGTTTCTGGTTTGTTGTCAACGTCCATGCCCATGGCGGGTCCGAGCATCGAGAATTGGAGAATACAACTTCATGATTGTGAGGTGTACAGTTGTCCATGAATGTGATTTAAGGTTCGTACATGACGACCATCGTTAAGCAACTGCAACACTTGTAGCCACTTCATTTAAAAGGAAGTTGAAGGATTCTCAGACAATATACACACCAAGTAACATAATGAGAGATGTGAAACACAACTTTGGTTTCACCATCTATTATTCGAAAGCTTGGGGAACAAGGGAGTTAGCTCTATTGTCCATTAGAGAATCAGCCAAGGAGGCTTATTATATTCTTCCAGCCTATTGCTATGAATTGGAGCGTATGAATTCTGGCACAAAGACACACATCCAAACTGATGAGAACAATCACTTTGTGTATTTATTTATGGCAGTTTGCGCATGTATTAGAGGGTTTCGTTCTTCCATGCACCCAGTGATAGATGTTGATGACACTCATTTAAAATCCAAGTACAAGGGTGTTATGTTTGTAGCAAATGCATTCGATGGCATTCGAATATATATCCTCTTGCTTTTGGGATCGGGGATTTGGAGACGAATGCATCATGGCATTGGTTTTTCACTAAACTACATGAAGCCATTGGTGAGTGTCCCAATCTTGTTATCATTTCTGATTGCAATGTTTGCATAGAGAATGTGCGGAACAAAGTTTTTCCAACATCGCAACATGGCATATGCTTTTATCATATGAAGGGGAACATGAAACGCACTTGCAAGTTGAAAAAGCGTGATCAAATACTTATGCACTTTGAGTAGGCTGCGAAATCTTATTCCATTGCTGAGTTTGATTGTCATTTTCGGAAGATCGAGAAAAAGGAATATGTTGCTCAATATCTTGAACATGCAGGGTTACATAAGTGGTCTAGAGCTCACATGGATGGACGCCGCTACAATGTAATGACAACAAATATTATAGAGTCAATAAACTCAATCCTTAGGTTTGCAAGGATGCTGCCAGTGATTCATTTGATAGGGGAAATTATTAATCTCCTTGTGAAATGGTTCACTGAACATCGTGAGTTGGCTATGAATTGCACAACAACATTGTGCCCCAATTTTGGCAAGAAGAAGTTGAGGAATAGGTTGGAGGATGCTGCAAGGATGAATGTCGTTAAACTAAATAACGAACAACAGTTGCAGCTACCTTGCAAGTATGTAGTTGCAGTTTGCTGCTTCTTGAAACTAAATGGATACTTGAAAGCTTCTCGGTATTACACTTACCTGGTTGGATGCTTATTTGGATAGCATCTACCCGGTACAGCCTCACGCAATGTAGATTATTCCTAAACATGTTCGAAGTTGAGTTGTGCTGCCTCCCATGGCAAAGGTCATGCTA